TATCTATCTATCTATCTATCTATCTATCTATCTATCTATCTCCACACACACACACACATACATACATATATATATATATATATATATATATATATATATATATATATATATATATATATATACAACATGCCTGGCCGCGTACACAATTCCGGAAAATTCTTGTTGAAAACACAACTATACTTAAACAGGAAAACAATAAACAAAAACTAAAAATTCTTGAAGCTATATACATAAAACAGTTGAAACCTAACCTGAACAAAATAATCTACGAAATCTCCACAAATATTCTTAAATGCATATAATTGATAACAGATGCCATTGATTTACACCAACGACTTCCCATACTTAATAATTCCCGTTGTCACTCTCGCGTGGTCATTTGTGACGTCATGAGCTGCGACGTGATTTTCGTTTCCGCATCTCGTATACACTACTTTGTTGATGCTTTGAAATTTTTCATGCAACAAAAACAGACTTTCATTATTGTTCCCTGTAGTGGTTGATATATTCAAAAGTAATTACGATCTTTGATAATGATGTATGCCGAAAGCTTAGATTGGATTTAAACATGTATCAATATGGTGATTTCCTTTCGTCCTTCAATGATAATGTTATTAAGCTTATCAGAAAATATGAAAGGAATTTACTGAAAATAAATCGACAAAACTTGTCTATATTATTTAATGAAACATGCTTCAATGAAAAATGGCTGCTATATATATATATATATATATATATATATATATATATATATATATATATATATAATGAAATTGGGAGAATAATTCATTTTCATAGATGTTTCCCGTTATATCAATAACATCTACAGTGGATAGCAGATTTAACTCGAAAGGGACATAATGACATAATTCCCTACTACTTCTAATATAAGGAAGCGAACATCCATCAGTTCTGGAAATGTGATAACGCTTTTGAGTATTTGTGAATTCTATTTTTATGACAAAAGAATTCCATATTTTATAAAGGAAAGCAGCATTGGTTCATCGGTCGTATGTTTCTTAATATGGAAATGGCTAACATTACAATTTACTATTTCATAAACACACATATTCACACTATTCACACTCACTATAAAAGCACATAGAGCAATACCAAATGACAAGCATGACCACACCCATCTATCAATACACATTTGTGGAATGATTACAAACATTCATATTTTTGTGAGATCCTCACTTAGTGTCGACATATGGCGATAGAGAAACATCAATAATAACCGAATTGATTTCCTACATAGCAATATATTGAAACGACAGAAGCAGCGAGGTACAATCCGTGCCAGTCACCCAGATTCTCTCTAAATCATAGAGGCTAGTTCAGCAACAACAGTCATCGTAGACAGCAGGAGTGATGATTTACGCTGTTTTTCGAAATCCACACCAAGGTCAACGGGATCGATGAGTTGGAAATCTCGGTTGGATTCATGCCAATGTTGGAACGCGTTGGAAAGCGAGTTTCAAAAATCACCATGGATATCCGAACTACCCAGTTGGATTCTGGAAAGGTTGTGGCTTTCCGGAGACAAACAGACAATATCGCCAATATTGTCAGAAATATATCTATTACCCGGATCCTTCCAGGACAATAATAATTCTTGTTTGTGTAGAAATATGAAAATCACAACTACGTGTAACTATAAAAATATGCAATACCCAAGGAAAATAATCCTTTATCCTTAAAAGCATGATAGGTAAATAAGTAAGCGTATAAAAGAGATTGAACGAGGAGAGTCAAACACTTATAGATATGCAAGATAGACAGTGTCTAACATGAATAAAATAGATAAGCAGTTATATTTTCCTTCTCTGGCACAATACGTACCAAATCCCCCCAAATATATGAAAGTTACTTGATAATTATGTATGAAATGGAATATGATTTCTTTTACATTTTACCACATGAATTTCACAAGCACCTACGGTGAGTAATTATTAATACGTTTATATGCCTGTCGAACACATTCACGTAGCGTCAGAGTTCAGATTAAGGCTCCAGATACACAAATAAACATGGGTTGGAATGAATTAAAATTCATGTTTATATTTGAAACATTTTCTTAATTTGTTTTTACAACTACACACAAGAACTGTTCAAAACAATCCCAAGTATACAGGGTGAGAAAAACAATTTGTTGTTTAATTTAACAGAGATAACACTGACATCGCATTTTAAAAGACATGTTTACGAGAATTACACAAAAATATCTTGAAATAGTAAAGAATAAATTTATTCAATAAAATCGTCATTGGATTCAGCCACGGCCTCCAGAGGACTTCAGAATCTCATGCAACAAACAAACACACACACACACACCCGCACAGGCATACACACACACACACACACATATATATATATATATATATATATATATATATATATATATATATATATATATATATATATATATATATATATATATATATATATATATATATATATATATATAAATAGATAACTAGATGGACTGGAAAAAACTGAGTGTATATACTTAAAAATGTAGCTCACATAATTTCGTCAATATCTTCCATTCACAGTTAAATTTCTAGGATCACACGTTGGTTGCATTGGCATTCGATCTGATATTTCCACAGTAATTCTGTATATGATTAAGTTTCACTACTGTTTTTTAGCTATTGACAAAGAAAGTGAGATTATTGCAAAAAATATATATATTGTCTAAAACATTATTTGTATCCTTATACTCATACGGATATAATGCAGTGTTGATCTCTGAGCATTGGGGAATTAATTCAAATATCATTTTACAGGAATGAAGATGTTCATTTGATAGATTTTATTATTTTGCTTATAAGTGAACGTTCTCTATTGTACCATAAAGAAACAGCTATAATGTTGCCAAGTTTCATAAAATTAATATAACATGAGAAATATGACTAAAATAAAACATTATGCATATAATGAAAAAAATTGTATATAGACTTTCAACGGAAAATATTCTTTCAGGAACGGAATTAATTCCGTCACACTTCCACGCCAATGCCGAGAGAAAGAAATCTTATAACAAATATTGGACAAATTCCATGAAAAGGTCATAGCGGACTTTGCCAAAATTCGAGCTCAATCTTCCGTTCATCACTGTTCAATCAAATCTGCTTCTCAGTTACATTGTTCCAACTGCATGATTATTTCCAGATGATCAATCATATCCCTGCTTTACATTTCGTCTCTCGATGAATAGTCTCACATTCCAAATGTTAGACTTCCGTTTTTGTTTGGGGTTTGTTTGACATCAAGTCAATCTTCTTGTCAAATCAACTTCTTGTCTTTCATTTCGAGGACATTTTTAAAATAATTTCTATGAATATTTTTACACATGAAATGAATGCTGAAATTCGTATTTTTACGGTTTCTCGTGAGGGACATTAACGTCGGATTATCAGAATTAGTTAATAAATTTTGGCCTCTTTAAATCGACAGTCAACCGATGTATCAATCCTACACGTCTTTATAAAAAGGATTTTTTTATTTCCTCCTTCATTCCTACAGCAATTTTACTTAATAACTCTCTACTTTGAGTGGCTATTCGTTCTTGTATTGGAGGAAAAATTATAAAAAATATTTAAGTATATATGTGTGTCTGGGATATTACAAATATGCGAATACACATGTGAATATATAAAACAAATACATGTTTATATTATATGTAAAAGCCAATTTTTTTTTATTTTAACACTATATGAAGTAAAAACACTGAAAGTAATTGCTTTATTTACACGGCATCATGAAAGGAGGTTTACAGATGATGTATTAAGTTTATATATTTATCACTTTTCATCAGTTTTGTTTTACGTCAAAAGTACATACCAAAACATGATGGAGAAATAAATGTTTACGTTCAATCAGCGATATCACACCAAGTCGAGCCTGTCAATACTTATATTATAGAAAAGATTAAGCGACAAAATTTAAATCAGACATGAAAAATTGCAAGAAAAAACAACGCTGATTGGACACGTGTTCTTGCAATCAGCGTTGTTTTTTCTTGCAATGATGGAACTGACGGATTGAGGAATTAAAGAGCCGAGTTCAAATTCCAGTCGTGATAATACGTAAGGTATTATTCCTCGTCTCCTCCATCCACCCAGCTATTCGAAAATAGCATGACAGACTGGGTTCTATAGCCTTGTATGGCAACTGGTCTAGGAGAAGGACAACTCGTTTTGGAAACTTTTGGCACCAGATATCTGCCTTCGGCTCTTCGAAAATCCTTCACCGCTATAATGAAATAATATGTGCTGCTTTCTGGGAACTGAGCTACTTGACCATGTATCTCATACGTCTAGAGATGTATCGTTGTATAAAAGCTCGCTCTGTGAACACAAAAGTAACTTACGTCAGGCCAAACAGTTAAAATCACTTGTCAAATACATGACAAGACTGACTATGACTTTGATTTTACAAATGCAAGAAAACATACATCTTTAAGTCGAACATTCTTCGAGGGAGTCCTAATGATAATTTATTATAACTATAAAATCGCGCCAAAAATATTTATATTATATCCCGAACCTTTAAGGAATTCGAGAGGTAAAAAATATTGACATTGATGATAAAACAAATATTTTTCTATATTAGGAAGCCTTTTTACCAAATGGATGCAGGATGAGAAAAAATGAAAATATCGAAATTTTTGATCAGGTTTGTAAAGGGTTTATAGAATCTAATCAAATCTAATCGCGACTAAAAAAACTCGTTCAAAACTATCAGATGTCATTTGTAATATAACACCACACGAAAAAGTAATTCCGCGTAAAAGAAAGTCACACTAAATTTTCATTTTCTATTTCCGTTCTCGTTGGCAAAGGATAAAAGCGTGTCCAAAAATTCCGAACTTAAAATCATTTTCATCCTGCTTCCATTTGGTTAAAAACCTGGAAATATACTGTAAGTATTGTTAGTCTTATTATCAATATTATTAGATCTGATGTTTTTTTTTTTTATTTTCGAATTTATTTCACTGGTCTATTATATCTATAGATAGATAGATAGATAGATAGATAGATAGATAGATACTGAACAGACAGCAGGGATATAGATAGATAGATAGATACTGAACAGACATAGATAGATAGATAGATAGATAGATAGATAGATAGATAGATAGATACTGAACAGACATAGATAGATAGATAGATAGATAGATAGATAGATAGATAGATAGATAGATAGATAGATACTGAACAGACATAGATAGATAGATAGATAGATAGATAGATAGATAGATAGATAGATAGATACTGAACAGACAGCAGGGATATAGATAGATAGATAGATAGATAGATACTGAACAGACATAGATAGATAGATAGATAGATAGATAGATAGATAGATAGATAGATAGATATAGCAATATCTAAGCTTATGATAAGTCTCTTTCTGAACAGCCTTGATTGTCGAAGAACCATTAAATAAAGAGCATCGTTAAGACTGCATCGTCCATCTTGGTTGCTATTTGGAAATTGCACTTGTAATCGATTAATCATAAATGAGTAAATACTCGAAACAACGGAACTATTTCGTCATTTTTGTTTGTTGCTGCGTCCCTATAAATGAAACGAAGGCATTACTTACAGAGCTTCCCTCGCATGGGTGGGAGAACGGATGTTTGTTTGTGTGTATTCACAGATAGAAAGAGTAAGAGACAATGGCAAATGTATTTAGATACGCCTCTTCCTTGTAATTGAAGGAGAGATTTATAGATTTCCACCAATATATCTTCAAAACAGATTGTTGTCATCGCATGTAAATTGACTGCAAAATGTCAATTCTTTTTTCGTCAGCCAGCATAAAATCTATTGCAATGGATTGATAGAATGAAAGTACGGATATATTCAGACATTTCATTCATACGCATTCTTGTACCAAAGTGAGTTGACAACATCCGGTCACCTGCGCAAAGGAAAGGGAAAATGCTTACTTCCGTGCTTTGTTTTCAAGCGGACCACTGGCAAAAAGCCGGCACAATGGAAATGAATAACTAGACTGGCGTGAATTTCAAAGTGAATATCTCTTCTTGGATCCCCCTAAGAAATCTATTTAGATAACAAGAAAATGGGGATACACATGAACAATTTTGCAGATTCTTGTTCAAATGGGCTTCTATTTATATGCGTAGCTATTAGTTTCTGTCAATCTACTGGGTATGCACCCACATATACACATGTACGTATATTACACGCAAAACATAGGCAAAAATGCGCTTAGACACACTTATATAATTATAGATATATTATATAAATTTCTTCCAAATTATATATATATATATATATATATATATATATATATATGTTTGTGCGTGTGTTTATCAACTTAAATAGTTATATCTATATATATGTTTTCACATACAGACACAGAGACATACACGCTTATACATATGTATAAATGAAATAGAGTCCCTGTCCATATAAGTACATGTATAGTGATTTAATTTTAATATATTTATTCGAATCTTTTCATTACTTATTAGTTTATTTGTTTAATATTCTATGTAGACAGGGTTATATATATATATATATATATATATATATATATATATATATATATATATATGATATTATATGCAAAGATTACTTAACTTTTAAATATCAACGTAATCCCGACATCGATGTTTCTTGATAAAATTTCCAGTCTTCAGTGGTTGTGGTTTTATACGCCATTTCCATTTTCTTATCATTTTTTTTTTCAAATTATACCGCCTCCTTTTCAATCTGTTTTTTAATCAACTTTTACACGTTTGTATTCATGAATTTAACGTTATTTTACAGGGGCACATTCATAAATATTTTCAGCTGTAGATTTTTTTATCCAATTGTAAATTTTTCTTCAAAATGATGTTAATAATTTAATTAAAATTTTAATTGATTTAATATAAAATTTCAAAAATATATATATATATATATATATATATATATATATATATATATATATATATATATATATATATATATATATATATATATATATAGGTAACTATACTCGTTTCGAAAAACCCTCTAATTTTGATTTGCCAATAATCAAATCAATCTCGAAGGAAAAAAAGGTTTAAAAAAAAGAAAGAGCTAGAAACATGAAAGTCTGTCGAAAGAAATCGCAGATACAGGTTTGAAGCCCAAAGAAAAAAAACCGACAGGAGTAAACAAATAACTAACAAAAGAGCTCAATAAAACCGTAGAGCAGACCTAGATAAAACTAGTGAGCCAAACAAACCTACCCAAGTTTCACCTAAGCGGATCGTAGGTTTGTCTGGCTCACTAGGTTTATCTATCTATCTATCTATCTATCTATCTATCTATATATATATATATATATATATATATATATATATATATATATATATATATATATATATCGGCATTTCTGCAATAAAATTTAAAAGAGAAACAATACACATAGACACAAATTCTACAATCCAAAATTAAAACACCAAACAGGCCTTTTGAAAAAAATTTGGGAATTGAAGGCAAAAGGGCTGAGTTCTCAGATAAATTGGAAAATTCTAGATTTTGCGAACACCCCCAATAGATTTAAGAATAGGTGAAGCTATGTTTAGATCAAAAAATTAGGATAATAAAATATAAAGATCAATGCAAACTATGAAATCAACGGAGACCTAATCGCGAAATGCAGACATAGAAATAAATTCCAAATTACATATGATTACATGTGCATATATGTAGGGATGTATGTGTGCGTATAGTAGGACATATATATGGACATGTAAAAGTACATATCTGCATTTATGATGATATGTACACATATAAGTGTGTTGGACAGTATGATTTATTCCATTGGGTGCTCTGTTATTACACACATTTTATAAATCTGTAATTCAATTAATTGACATTAATCTCAATGTGTTTACGTTTAATTCCGACATCGCTTATTAATAATTTTAAACACGTGTAGTACGAAAACTATTTACTATGAATCCCAGAAAAAAACACACTTGGGGCTCGTATAAGAACCGCCATATAGCAGGAACTAATATTAAACTAGAAACAACGAATGGTCCTGGCCATAAATAAACTTCAACCCCAGACCGTTTCCCCTGGATAAGATAACATGCGCCTTCACCAATCGCTAATACAAACCCATTCTCATTAACAAGGCGTCCACCAGAGGACTGACAATGAAAATAAATTTACAAAAATGCTCTGAGACAGACACTTAGGTGCTGATGATAGCCGCGTGCAGAAAGGCTTGAAATAGACTATACTCTATGTTGAGGTGATTTTTTTTTTTTTTGCTATAAAAAAGACGTGATCTGTTATAATATATACATCGACCTCCTTGTGGATCTGTTTTTTCATAAATATTTCTAGGTTTCAACCACATTATATACCACCGGATCAATTACCTCAGTCACACACACACACACACACACACACACACACACACACACACACACACACACACACATATATATATATATATATATATATATAGTTCCCTCATGAATAATTGGAACGGGAATACAAATTCCTTTGTTCTTTTGTTTGAACCCACCCATTTTTCAAGTATGCAACACTATTGTAACACCTGACAGATAGAAATTCCTTGTTGCTCAGGTGTTGCCATTTTGTCTGATTTTTATAAACATTACATAACTCTGAACGACGACCCTTTGCCTTAGGTTTCACATGTACAGATTGCATTTCTTGTTAAAAATTATAAAACAACATGAGTTTGAGGGAATTTTCTATGGATAAAAAGCAAGCCATTTTGAAGGTGAGAAAAGAAGAAAAATGGATCAGAGCTATTGAACAGGCATTGGGAACAAGTCACACAATTTGAATTGTCCTGCAAAAGAAAGAAACTACTGGCAAACAGACATAGAACAAGTCTGCCAAGGAAAACAACATCTGATGTCAGGAACATTGTGGAAGTTCTGAGGAAAAACCTTAAAATAACAGTCATTCACATCAACAACAGCCTCCACAGTGCAGGGGTAATGGTTTCACAGACTTCGGGAGTAAGATTATAGAGGTCATGCCAAAAACTGCAAAAAAAAAAAACTCATCAGCAGTAAGAATCGAAACGATAGATCTGAATTTTCAAGGAAGTACAAAAGGTCTTGGAAAAAATTTTTGTCAATTTTAATCGCTGAGTGATGGAAATACCAATGTGGGGAGAAAGCAAGTGTCTGGTTATGATGCAAAACATACAAGTTCACCTGTGAAGCAAGATGGAAGCAGTGTCTTGGCTTGGACTTGCATGGCTGCATCTGGAACAGGATCATTCGTATTTATTAATGATTAAACTCATGATGGTAGCAGCAGAATGAATGCGGATGCCTACAGAAACTTTTTTTTTTCTGCCAATTTACAGATAAATTCATCCAAACTAATCGGGAGGAATTTTATCATAAAGCAGGACAATAACTCAAATCATACTGACGACACAACAACGGAATTCATCAGATGTAAGAATTAAACAGTTTTAATCTGTCAAAGTCAATCAGCGGACCTTCAATCAATACAGCATACATTTCCTGACCTGAACAGGAAACTGAAGGGAGATACCTCTCGAAACAAACAAAAACATAAATAGGCTAAGTTAAAAGTGTGGAAAGCATCCCAAATTTAGAATACAGCAAGAATTATGAATACATTGGTGAAGTCAATCGCTCGCAGGATTGATGCAGTTATTACAAGCAAGGGTTATACGACCAAATAATAAAAGTACTTTCAAACTATGCATTCATTTACATTTGTTCACCTAAAAATGTGGTTATCTGATACAGAAAATGGTATGTTCTAAGCTGTTTAACACATCCAAATGTAAATACGATGGAATACAAGCTGAAATTCTGAACTGTTTGTCTCATATTCATCTTAAACTAAAATGTCGTCAATTAACAACAAAAACAAGAATTAGACTTGCCGTTCTAATACATTTATAAGAGAACACACACAGACACACACGCACACACACACACACACACATATAAATATATATATATATATATATATATATATATATATATATATATATATATATATATATCAGGCCTGAGGATTGCATCTAGCATGAAAAACACTATCGCCTCTAAGTGTTGACTTCTATGTTCACTTTTATATTTACACACGCTCTATCTCTTTCCAATAAATATAGCACATTTTAAGACTATATTTCTCCATATATATCTATATATCTATATCTATATCTATCTATCTATCTATCTATCTATCTATCTACCTATCTATCTATCTATCTATCTCTCTCTCTCTCTCTATATATATATATATATATATATATATAGTGTTTCAACATTCCGTCCAGAAGAACGTACCATGATGAAAAACGCTCCAAATTTGATAAAAACAATGTCATATCATCGAAATGTTTGTTACTATTAAGAGGAAAGTCGAAAGTACTGTTGATTATTTTCGAACGTTTTGTATTA